GGGGGGGGGGGGGGGGGGAGGGGGATGGCCCAGCGGTTAGAGCCCTGGCTGCTCTTGCCAGAGGACCAGGGTTCAATCCCCCAGCACCGTCTGTCCCTCCAATTCCAGGGGATCTGACATGCTCTTCTGATCTCCGTGGGCACCGGGCATGCGTGTAAGCAAAAGAGCATACACCTTAATAAATAAAATAAATAAATCTTAGCCCCAGCACTTGGGAAGCAAGTGGCTCTGTGCATTCCAGGCTAATCAGGGTAACATATTGACACCCTGTAAAACAGACAGACAGACAGGACCAAGAAGAGGCCCGGTGGGTGAGGGTGCTTGATGCCAAGTCTGAGGACCCGCACGGTAGAGGAAACGACCTCTACAGATTTGTCTGCGTACTGCAGCTGTCATGGTCCCCGCCCCTCCCCCCGCCGCCCCCCTCCCCAGCAAAGTAACAGCTTCAGACATGTCCCCCGGGACCCGAGGACATGTCACCTAAACAGAGACAAGGGCCCACCACATGGGATCATCCTGACCGCAAGGGAGCAGGACCCCACATTGCTGGAATTGCTCACAGTGGCTGCTGGGAAGCCACCCTGGAGAGTCACAGGGTCCAGCCAGCCTCCCCATCCAGACACTCGGGAGGTGGAGGACCAGGAGTTCCAGTCCAGCCTCCCTACGTAACGAGTTGGAAGGTCGGCTTGGGCTTCATGAGACCCGGTCTCATGAAAGGGGGGTGTGGGGGAGGAGAATATTTGAATCTACCCACTAATCCCTGCGCCAGCAACAAGTACTTTATTTTTTCCCTATTGGTTTCTTTCTCCCTTCCCTTTCTCTTGAGACAGGGTTTCTCTGTGCAGCTCTGGCCATCCTGGGACTCACCCTGTAGACCAGGCTGGCCTTGAACTCAGAGATCCAACTGCCTCTGTCTCTAGAGTATTGGAACTAAAGGTGTGCGCCACCACCACCTATTTTAATTCATTTTTTCATATATGCATGTATTTGAATCTGGTAAAACTGTTGTTGGTGTGGTTCCCAGATGTCACGTGCAGTATCCTTAAACCCACCAAGGCTGCCCCGTCCACTAGGAGTTCAAATGCAATGGGGGAAACCTTTTACATGCTGACTATAATAATTTCATGATGAATGGGGGAGGGGAGCCTTGGGTTATACAAATATCTCTCCTGGGCCTGTGAGACGGCTCGGCCGGGCACCCGAGTTCAATCCCCAGGACGCACATGGGGACCCCCACGATGGAGAGCGGCAGTACCCTACGGTTCGTTCCTGACCGCCCCACGGCTCCCGTGCCTGCGCACGTGCACAAGGCAAATCAGTACTGACGTTTTCATTGTTATTTATTTAAGAATTCTGTGTTAGAAAGTCCACCCACCCCGAGGCCAGCCTGGTCTACAGAGCAAGTTTTAGGACAGCCGGGGCTGCACAGAGAAACCCTGGCCCTGGACCGGGCGGGCGGCGCGTCTTCTGTCGCCCCCGTGTGGCCAGAGCTGCACATAACACCCTGCCCGCAGCCGCTGCTTGCACTTCCAACACGTGCCGCGAGGTGGCGCCGTCCACCCGCTGGGCCTGGTCCCAACCAGCAGCCCGCAGTGATCTTGCTCCGCTCGCCGGGGCTCCCGTGAGGCGCCCCGGACTCTGACTGCTGTAACAGGGATGGCGTTTTTGAATTTCAATGAAAACCTTTCTTCAGATAGTACCCCACTCTGCAGACCAGGCTGTCCTGGAACCCACTCTGCAGACCAGGCTGTCCTGGAACCCACTCTGCAGACCTGGCTGTCCTGGAACCCACTCTGCAGACCAGGCTGTCCTGGAACCCGCAGACGTCCACCTGCCTCTGCCTCCCGAGTGCTGGGATTGAAGCCGTGTGACTCGGTGTCTGATTTCAGTCATCGTTTTCAGTAGGGAAACCTGTGGTTTTGTGTGATGGTGTATCGCGTGCCGGAGTCCAGGCTCTGAGCGCCTGTGATGGTGACCTCTCATCCCGGCACTCAGGAGGCTGAGGCAGGAGGATTTCTGGCAAGTCCAGACCAGCTTCTGCTCCTTGGTCTAAAAAACAAACATATAAAGAAGATGGTCCGTCTTGGCGGCTCAGGGCGCGCCTGAGTTAGGTTCCTAGAACCAACGTGATGCACCTGAGTCGCTGTCCTCTACACCTCAGGAAAAATAATAATTTTGTAATTGCCAAAAGGGCAATTTATTATTCATACAGAAGAGGGCGCCAGATCTCATCACAGATGGCTGTGAGCCACCATGTGGGTGCTGGGAATTGAACTCAGGACCTCTGGAACAGCAGCCAGTGCTCTAACCCCTGAGCCATCTCTCCAGCCCCACTGACCTCAATTTACAGAGGGGAACACTGAGGCTTCTAATCCACCCTCTGCGTGTGTGCGTGTGTGGTTTTTCAAGACAGGGTTTCTCTCTGTAGCCCTGGCTGTCCTGGATCTCGCTCTGTAGCCCAGGCTGGCCTCGAACTCACAGAGATCCGCCCGGCTGAAAAGTTTTATTATTAAAGGAGGAAGGGGAGAGGGATGGCGGGAGATGAACTTTGGGAACAGAGGGGAGGAGTTTTCTCTTAAGGGACTTGACAGATGACGTCGTCAGGGCGCTGGGCCGGCCAGGGGCGGGTCGAGTGCTAACGACGTGCGCGGCGGTGACCGTGGAGGCCAGAAGGGGGAGCTGGGTCCCCTGGAGTTACACGCGGTTGTGAGCCTCCACGTGCGTGCTGGGAGTCGAACCTGGGTCCTCTGGAAGAGCAGCAGTGCCCCTAATGCAGTGATCACAAGCCAGACCCTGAGCCGAGGCGCGGCCGGGTGCCAGCCTTGTCTCAGCCCCTCGGGCGGGCAGCTAAGCTCTCGGCGGGGAGGACCCACGGGGAGGAGTCCCGGGCCCCGGGCAGAGGAGGCAACCGCGGGAGCCCGGGCTGGCGACAGGCCTGGCGCCCATCCGGCGAGCGTTCGCCCTCCCCGCTCAGCCTCGCCCTCCGCTCCCTTTCCCCTTAGCCCAGCCTGGAAGGAGTGATCCTCCGGCCTCAGCGGCCGGCGGGATGACGGCTGAGCTTGGGTGCTGACCCGCTGGGGCGGGGGCGCAGCATACGCACCGGGGTCCCTCGGTTTGCATCCAGTGCGCGCGGCAGGCCTGGGTAGTGCGGTGTCGGCTCCGCGGAGCAGCGCCGGGTCCGGCCAGGGGGGGTCAAAGGTCCCTCGGCCCTGCGTCCGCCCACACCCACGCGGCTCCATCCCGCGGGACAGGACATTCCTTCTGGATCATCAAGAAAAAGTCACGTGCGACCCCGCCGGGGCTGCTCGGACACAGGGGACGGGGAGGGACGCTTAGAGACCAGCCAGCGGGTGAGCGCGGCCTGCGCCCCGCCCCACCGGGGATCCTGGGCGGGGCTCCATACTGACCACGCCCCCAGCCCTCCCCGGCAATCCTGGGCGGGGCTCCACCCTGACCACGCCCCCAGCCCCTCACTGGGGATTCTAGGCGGGGCTCCACCC